GAGGACCAAGAAGACCACAAATTCAATCTGGAAAACGCGATAATTTTGGCATACGGAGACACGCGACACGGAAGAGAATTTCTGGAAGCATGGTACTCTACGGCAGGTTCAATCAACTGGTGCATCGAACTGGATCCAATTTACGCACCTCTACGTGCGAGAGATCAACATCACAACCGAAACACTCAAGGAGGACCGAATAATGGATTAACAAACGAAGAAACAAGGAACTCCTCGGAATCAAATCAATAAAGGTCGTAACGGAACTGGGAAGGACAAAGGTCAATCCAACACCAACCAGACTACGACGACGAGGGATGCCGAATTCCAAGGTCACGTGGGCATCGGCGAATGAGGACACGGGATAAAAAGAACAACCAATGGAACCGCCCGACAGAATAACTAGGCGCGGTCAATGGTCATCCCCGGCTACCAGCACGTATATCAACACACACGTAACACTACTGAACGCACAACCACTAACCCACCGCTACGCACAACTACGCACTGATGATGTCACCTCGATTGGTGATGAAACGTTTGCAACCAAATTGCCCAGCTCAGCGAACAAGCCGACGAACAAGTACCCGTTTTAGATCACCTCGTTAGTAACACTCTAACACCCTCCTAAACCAGCCACACTCGGAGCATCAGTGATAAAAAACGCCAGGCACCTCACATCATCTATCCATACAGGCCAAGTCTGGCAGCCACACAATAAAAGGGCCCTTATTGTCGCCTGGTATATAGCGCCCTTAGGACCTCCAGGCCGGCCACAAACTCAAATCGACCACATTGCCATCAATTACCAATGGCGTGGATCAATAACTGACTGTCGGTCGTTTCGGAACACATTTGTGGACTCCGACCACGCGCTCGTCCGGAGTCGCTTCTCCCTATGTTTCCCAAGACCGCGTAAGGTGCGGACTAATCACCTGGCAACTGAAAGACTGGCAGATCCAGATGTTAGACGGACTTACCAGAATCATCTTCTAGAGTCTCTTCCAACTGCCCCACCATCAGATGTGAACTCATACCGGGACGAGATTGTCACCTCATTGCATAGTAGTGGGGACTGCTTGAGGCACGACCCAACCAGGCGCACCCAAGCACTGGATATCAGACCGAACGGTGGCACTGCTTAAATCTCGGAGAAATATCCCAGCCGGTCCTGAACATAACCCGGTGCGAAGATTTATCAGACGGCAAGTGAAAGTGAGCTTGCGATCCAACCGTGAAGTATGGTGGACACGGAAAGCCAAAGAAATGGAAAAGGCTCAGAAAGCCGGTAATGCCCGAGGGTTATTTCAGTTGATCCCTACGACCGGTCCCCTGAAACCACCTGTGAGTGAAACCATCAAGCGTCAGAATGAAACGACCATCTCGAATAAAGAACGCCTCGACAGGTGGGCTGAATACTTTGAACAACAACTGCCGTGGCCACCAGCTGGCACTCAGCTACAACCCACAGGTGAAGTAGAACCCTCGATGCTGAACGTGGAACCACTTACGGCCTCGGAGGTTTACGACTGCATATGTTCTTTCAGGCGCTACCGAGCTCCTGATCCGGTTGACCTCCCACCCGCACTGTTCAAAGACGGGGGTGAAGTCCTCAGTCGGCGCTTGTCCGATATGTTTGCTTGCATTTGGGAAAAGGAGTCTGCTCCAGACAACTCGGGAGAATCGGTGATAGTGTCCGTTTTCAATAAAAGGGGCGCGTAGTGAGTGTGGTAACCACAGGGGGATCAGCTTGACCCCAGTCGTAACGGGACTGTTGGCGTCACTTGTGCTCCGTCGCCTTACGGTGGCTCGCGAGATACTGACTCGAGAGCAGCAAACAGGATCCCGACCTGGTAAGGGTTGCGTTGACCAAATCTTCACACTGCGTCAGGTACTAGAACAACGCCATACGTATAAGCGACCCACGATTCTAGTATTCCTGGATTTCCGAGGCGCATTCGACTCGGTTGATCGGTCTGTTCTCCATGAGACGCTTGCTCACAAAGGAATGTTTTGGAAGTTTGTAAGCATAATACGTTCTTTGTATTCTCAGACTTCCGGACTTGTGAGAGTGTACGGAGAGCTCTCCAAAAGTTTCCGTACACAAAGCGGTGTCCGTCAGGGATACCCACTCTCGCCATTCCTTTTTAACTTTGTCAGTGATGAAATAATGAGACGAAAGCTGGAGGGTCTCCAAAACCCTAGAGTTCAAACAGAGTGTGAAGTAAATCTTCTCGATCTGGAATATGCAGACGACATCGTTCTCATGTTCGAAGAGGAGGAGAAAGCGTAGGTGTTTTTGGATGAACTGACCAAGTCCATCCCGTCCTTTGGTATGCACTTTGCACCTACAAAGTGTAAGGTCATGCTCGTGGACGTGCAGTCACTGAGCACGCCACTTGCAATCCAGAGAGAGGTACTGGAAGTTGTGGAGCGTTTTACGCATCTCGGAAGTTGTATTAGTTTTGATTGTAGTGTGAGGTGAGGTGAATGCAAGAATTTGCAAGGATCGGGCAGCGTTTGCTAATTTGACACATCTATGGCGTCAGAATGGTGTATCCCTGAATCTCAAGGGACGTGTGTATCAAGCTACAGTAGGGGCTGTTTTGTTGCATGACTGTGAGACTTGGCCTATTCGAGCAGCGGAACTGAGACGTCTTCAGGTGTTCGACAGTCGTTGTCTCAGAACCATAGCTCGTGTGGGTTGGTGTCGGCGAATCCGTAACGAGGCAGTTAGAAAGCGTGTTTTCGGTTGTGTAACGGGTACTTCCATTGAAGAATGTGTCCAGCACCAGAAGCTGCGTTGGTTGGGACATGTGTTACGTATGCCGAACCATCGTTTGCCGAAGAGAGTACTGTTTTCCATGCCCAATTCAGAGTGGCGTAAACAGAGAGGTGGCCAACCCGCCCATGACTTGGCAGAGGAGTATGAAGGAGATCACGAAACGCTTGGGTGCTGTCGGTGCTACTCGACTTGTTGGAGACACCACAAGATATGACTGCCAACCGATGTCAGTGGCGTTCTTGTTGTCAGTTTCTATCCAGATCGCCTGAGTGAATATCTGGAGGTATAGGCACCTCGGGATGATTGTGGTAAGCTAGCACTAAGTCCCTCCCCCGTCCGCCTTTATTCTTTTCTTTACAATAAGGTTTTCAAATAAATTATGGTTGTACGGTAGTGAAGCATCGGTGTTGAACGCTGATGTCAGGTTATCGATGGTGATGATGATCATGATGATGATGATGATGATACATCTGCCCGGGCAAACATATCTGTCGACTAACTCAAGGGACTCATGCGCAATCATGACGCTAGGGTGTGAGGCGCATGTTAACCCGAGACGGGGATTATTCAGATTGTTCTCTATTGTTTGCATTAGCACGGCATCAGATCCATGAAGAGCTATGTCTCCAAGGATGCTGCCATGGTGCCTGACGGTTCACACGGTCAAAGGCAGCTTTCAAATCGAAAAAGACAACAATTGCTGGGTACAGGCAACAATCTTCACCGTTCCAGAATCTGTCGAAGGGCGAAAATAT